CAGAGCCTAGCTTCTGCCAGCCAGAGAGGCAGGGGACCAGCAGGGCTCATTTGTAACCACCCCCCCAAGGAGACACAGGACTGTGGTCTCTTGACTGTGGCCCGGGTAATACCTGCCACTCCTTCCCTTGTCGCACACTGGCTGAGTCCAGAGAGCTGAGAGGCCACAGCTGTGTGTGGTGCCCACGCGCGAGGCTCCGTGGCAGCACCTTGAGAAGACTTCAGGATTCTGATACACTTACTGGCAAGGGCAGTAACAGACCAGCTTTGGTATCTGAGTTCCTTTATTATTAACGTCTCTTCACAGCATCTGAGGTACTGTCTGGTGCAGAGAGAAAACATCTTAAGTCTTACCTCAACGCTGGTCTACTTTTCCAGTACTTAACATGTAACACCTTATTAGTGGCAACAGTGCAAGGTATGATAGTAAATTAGACTGATGGTTATCGTACAGATAAGTGTCTAAAACACAGACATTTTATAGATGCCATTATCCTAATAATGACAGTAACAGCTAATATTGATTGAGGTAAGCACTTTACATGTGTTCTCTCATTTAATCTCCACAACAGCCCTGTCAATGTAGAGCCTATTAATCCATTTAACAGATACTTGAGTGCCTCTTGGTGATGGAGCTGTGAGGATACATTGTACAAGAAGACAGACCAGGTCCTGAGCTCATGCAGCTTACAGTGTAGTGGGGAGCCACACATGCCCCCAGGGGACCACACATAGCAGAATCATAATTGTGGTGAGTAACCAAGGTCCTGTGTTAGCGGTAGGATGGGATGGTTCCAGAAGGAAGGGACGTTTGAGCTCAGAGAGAAGTTGGAGGAGGTGGGGATGGCAACCTTTGATAGGAAAATGTCAGTGCTCCTGGACAGTGGTTTGTGCATCATTTTCTGTCCCATGTGGCTGTTTAGGTGGACTTGTTCTTGGCCCAGGTCAATCATAAAACACCTAGAGGGCAGACTCTGCCTAATTCCTTCTGTTGTCTTTCATTGCACCTAGCACAAACTAGGTCCCAATAAGTGTGGTTTGGCATGAATTGGTATGTGAACAGATGGCCAAAAGATGTGTAAGACATTACACCTTCCCTGTAGTGTGTTTGGGATGTCAGTCAGCAAACATTCCTTGGCTTTTTCTTGTGTGCACATCATCTTTGTGTGTGTGTGCACGTGTGCATGCGTGTACACAGAACTCTTCTAGGGGCTTCAAGATTAGGAAATAAAACCAAACTTCCGCCCTTGTTCTTTAAGGAGCTTGGAATCCATAGAACTCCTGAAATAGAGCACCTGGGACTTGGAGGCAGGCTGATCAAGCAAGCACATACCTTGTGCAGCTCCTTCTGCCCCCGACGCGACCCGCCCAAATGTCCCGGGTCAGGTCAGGCTTCCCAAGAAGAACGTGCCGCCCTGCTTGGGGGGGCAGGTTGTGGGGAGGGTATGTGAGAGGAAATCCAGCTCAGCATTAGTAAAGAGCCCAGGCTGCAGAGAAATACAGCTGCTGGAGAGGAAATTTGCTCATGTGTCCTTGGTTGGGGGGTGAGTGGAGTCTAATGGCATAGCAGCTTGTGATTTGGCTAAGTAGCTTGCAGTGTATGAGTTTTCTGTCTTCACAACCTGCCTTATTTCTCAGGTAATATTCTGTTTGTAGTCAAAAAACTGAGTATCTCCAAGCACTGACAGTCGAAGAGTTTGCGGGAGAACCAGTTTCCTCCGGCCATGGTTGTGTCCCGCAGGGGTCTGCAGACATAATACCCTTAATAGCAACACATATTTTTGCAGGATTTACCTATTCACCCCGCCCCCGCTCCCTATCATAGCCCTGCTGGCTGTATGAAAAACAGGAATTTTTGTAACAAGCCCTGCAAACCTTTTCCTGTTTGGAAAAAAAATTTTTTTTAATTGTTGGCAAAGTTAGAAGACAGCTCTGTTACTCAAAGAGTGACCTGAAATGTCCTCTTAGAAAAATATGGAGCATGATGTTTTGATAAGTAGGGTATTGCTGTGGACCCTCCCCCTACCACCCTTTTGGAGAGGGGGGGTAAGTCTAAGTGGTGAGTTAGTGTATGTCCCACCTGGCTTAGTGAACGCTTCTTGAACTTTTTAAAGATTTCATCATTACATATTCTGCAGTCTCATTAAAAATGTCCCCTAATTGCAGTTACAAATGACCTGATCTAATTATGAGTGTTACAGAGCTGCACCACCCTCTCCACCAGCCAGTGCAGACAACCAGGAAGCCATTATCTAGGAGGATCTTCCCCCCTTTATCATTAACTAAATGTGACAGGGACAGGAGTCAAGCTTCCTTTCCTCTAGAGATTTCATCGTGGCTTATCTATGTGTCTGTTGTGTTCCAAGAACAAGATAGTCAAGATGGAATATTGTGCAAACGCCCAGACTTTCAGCCTATAGAACATGTCGCAGGGTCAGAGCGCTCAGCCCCTTTCCAGGTCCTCCCCAGGGACAGGCCTGCCTCTTTAAGGACAGATTTAGAACCTGCTTTGCTGGTGTTGGTGGGCCCAGGAGATGAGGCTGTGGTTCTTGGAGCATACATAGGTGTGTGTTTAAGACCTTTCCGTGGGGTTTGGAGAATCTTATGGAAATGAAATAGGCCATTAGAAAAATGTAGTACTTGGCCTCTTTTAGGGATTCTTGTGTGTACTTAAAGTCCTCCTCAAAGCTTTTCTTGAGTTGGGCATAGGTCAATAGATGGGAAGGAAGAGGAAAGTCTAGGGAACAAAAGAAACCTTCATGCCATCCACTTGGACACCTGCACAGCATCTAGCCTAGAAGGCCCATTCAGAGCCGAATCTGACCCGCCCGCGCTGTGTGCCCTGGCAGAAGGGTCTGTCACGTTGCTCCTCTGTTGCAATCCTTGGGTGGAATGTAGTACAGAGGGTCAGAGGGCATTTTGAAATACGGATTTCTCAGCCCTGGCTATCCGGCCTGACTCGACTCGGACTATCCCATCTCCTTTTAGACAGATTTTTTCCCCGCATGTTTGTAATCTCTTTTTTAATAAGAAAGAACCTGAATTCATGGTTTGTGTTGAAGCCCGGGCCTTGTCTGTGCAAAGGCTTTTTCTGGCGCAGCGATTGGCACTCAAGCATCTGCATCCCACGTTGATGGCATGAGGATGTGGGCACTGTGGCTGCATCCCTGGGTGACCACAAATCCAGCCAGGGCCTTTTTGTGGTCAGGGTGAGGGGCCCCAGAGGTCCAGGGGGCTCAGTCTGCTAAGCCTTATCCCCAGTTGGCAGAGGAAGCCAGGGGAAGCTTGGGAGACATGCACAGGGGCCTGTTCCCAGGGGTCTAGGACATCCAGAATCCTGCTCCTGGACTTGGCCGCAGGGCCCTGATGACAGAGGCTGCTGAATGAGCAGGTAGTGGGAGTCTGCTCTGTGCCTTGTTCTAGATGTGGAACAAAAAGCTACAAGACAAGGGCCCTCCTTTGGAGCCCATTTTTGCTTTTCCATATGTCCCCAGAGGCTCTCCAGATGCTGGTGATCCCATATGTGTCCATTAGGGGAGTTGGATTGGGGGTTCCTTATTTGCAGCCTGGCTTTGCTGCTTCTGCTGGAGCTTGAGACTCTCTTTGGCCTCCTTCACTGTATATTGGGAGTTGTGGGTTTGTGTTTGCAATCCCTCTGAGCTCCTGCCCACACCCCAGTGAATAGGAGGTAGGAGGAGGGGAGCAGGGCTCAAAATGGCAATATCCTCGTGCCCTCAAAGTTGGGATCTAGGCCCTACTTCTTGGGAACTGCTTGCCATGTGCCAGGCACCACTGAACATTTTATAAACTCTGTCTCCCTCATAGCCCTAAATGGGTCTATTACTTATCTCTGTTTTATAGATAAGGAAACTTAAGGCACCTAGGGGCCAAGCAGTTTCCCAAAGTTAAGTTGATTTTCTTTACTAATTGTGTTGGAAATACACATGGCACAGTTTAGTTGTGGAGCAACTGTACTGAGTGACTGAAGCCTGGAGCTCTTTGTATTGCCACCCCTCTCCCCCGTGTCTTTTTGGATAGAGCATGACCTCCCTCCGATGCAGTGACCTGGAGTTAGTTGGCACATACTGCCGGTTATTTGTGGGAGGAGGGGTTGGTGAACAGCACTTGGATCTAAATTTTCTCTTTTTCGGCAGTTCAACTTTCTAAAATAAGAAATATGACCCTGTTTGCCGTATATTCACCTATATTAGCCTAATGGACTTGAAAGGTAGAAAGGAATCTAGGTCTTACTGGTTTTCAGGCTTTTAATTCTTGACTAAGAATATATCCTGCTTCACTTCTTTCTTTTCCATAATCACGTGGGCCCAGTAATCTAAAACTTCTCACTTGTGTAAATGGCATATGTTCAATCTGAAGAGAATTGGCAGTAGTTTTAGGGGTGATAGAATGGAAACGGTTTTTGCTATTTACGTAGCATTGTAGCTAAGCAAAAATTTAAGTGGTTTTAAAGTGAGTTCCTGTGATTTCCTGTAAAATACAGCTATGTAAAAGAAGGTGTCTATAATAATGCTTATTTAATTTTGTCTCCTCATTACATTAAGATACAGACACTGGGTTTGTTTTGGTTTGTTTTGAGAGCGTGAGCGGGGGAGGGGCAGAAGGAGAGAGAAGAATCTGAAGCAGGCTCCATGCCCAGTTCAGAGCCCGGCATGGAGCTGGACGTGGGTCCTAACATGGGGCTCGATCTCCTGAACCGTGAGATGGTGACCTGAGCCAAAATCAAGAGTCGGACACTCATCCGATTGAGCCACTCAGGCACTCCTACAGGTGCCTGTTTTTAAGATAAGATACTATTTCTCTTGTACTGGTTTGGAGCTCTTTTATAGTGGAGTTCAGAACCCTTCTGATGGTATAGGTTGAAATCTGTACCACAAACTTTAAAAGACGTTTACTTGTCTTCCATTAACATATATCTTTACTGAACAGTAAGTACTCCAACAGGAGAAGTACTTATTTCTAACATGATGTTTTGCTTTACAGAATTCAATTCGCCATAATCTGTCCCTACACAGCAAGTTCATTCGTGTGCAGAATGAAGGAACTGGAAAAAGTTCTTGGTGGATGCTCAATCCAGAGGGAGGCAAGAGTGGCAAATCCCCTCGGAGAAGAGCTGCGTCCATGGACAACAACAGTAAATTTGCTAAGAGCCGGGGCCGAGCTGCTAAGAAAAAAGCATCCCTGCAGTCTGGCCAGGAGGGTGCCGGGGACAGCCCAGGATCTCAGTTTTCTAAATGGCCTGCGAGCCCTGGCTCTCACAGCAATGATGACTTTGATAACTGGAGTACATTTCGCCCTCGAACTAGCTCAAATGCTAGTACTATTAGTGGGAGACTTTCTCCCATTATGACCGAACAGGACGATCTTGGAGATGGGGATGTGCATTCTCTGGTGTACCCACCATCTGCTGCAAAGATGGCTTCTACGCTACCCAGTCTGTCTGAGATAAGCAATCCTGAAAATATGGAAAATCTTTTGGATAATCTCAACCTTCTGTCATCACCAACGCCATTAACTGTTTCAACCCAGTCTTCACCTGGCACCATGATGCAGCAGACACCATGCTACTCATTTGCACCTCCAAACACCAGTCTGAATTCACCCAGCCCAAACTACCAAAAATACACATATGGCCAGTCCAGCATGAGCCCTTTGCCCCAGATGCCTATGCAAACACTTCAGGACAACAAATCGAGCTATGGAGGTATGAATCAGTATAACTGTGCACCAGGACTCTTGAAGGAGTTGCTTACTTCTGACTCTCCTCCCCACAATGACATTATGACAGCAGTTGATCCTGGGATCGCCCAACCCAACAGCCGGGTCCTTGGTCAGAATGTGTTGATGGGCCCTAATTCGGTCATGTCAACCTATGGCAGCCAGGCATCTCATAACAAAATGATGAACCCCAGCTCCCACACCCACCCTGGACATACCCAGCCAACATCCGCAGTTAATGGGCGTGCCTTGCCCCATGCGGTCAACACCATGCCCCACACCTCGGGTATGAACCGCTTGGCCCCCGTGAAGACAGCTTTACAAGTGCCTCTGTCCCACACCATGCAGATGAACGCGCTGGGGGCCTACTCCTCGGTGAGCAGCTGCAATGGCTATGGCAGGATGGGCCTTCTCCACCAGGAGAAGCTCCCAAGTGACTTGGATGGCATGTTGATTGAGCGCTTGGACTGCGACATGGAGTCCATCATTCGGAACGATCTTATGGATGGAGATACGTTGGATTTTAACTTTGACAATGTATTGCCCAACCAAAGCTTCCCGCACAGCGTCAAGACGACGACACATAGCTGGGTGTCAGGCTAAGAGTGAGTTAGTGAACAGGTAAGATCACCCCCGTGTCAAAAGACCTTGTGAAGCCAGGACTTAAAAGAGAGGAACACGGTAACTTGCCACATATCTTCCATGGTTGGGACTTTTCCTGATGTCAGCTGGCTGTTCCTTGCAGAGAGGCATCTTTTATCATTCTTTCTTTGCCCTTTTTTCAGCTTATAATTTTTTTTTTTCTTTGAGCTTAAGCATAAGGAATTTTCCTCTGACTGCTTTAAAGATTTCTTTTGACAGTTAGATGGCTGCATCTTTTCAGTAACTCTTCAATAAATGAATACGTTTGATACAAATCAAATGCTGCAGGTTTTTTTTATAAGTGGAATTTTCCCCATTGAAAGATTTCAGAGCTGTTTGAGAAAGCTCTAGCTTCTCCCATCCCCCCGCCCCCCCCAAGTATGTCTGTCACTCTAATACGTTAAATCAAATTGATTTTAATTCGGCTGTATTTTCATTGTGTGTTTTTTCTAGGCTACACTTAAAAGTACTTCAGACTGTCTGACAGCAGGAACTGAGAGAAGCAGTCCAAAGATGTCCTTCACCCCTCCTTTTCGTTTTCTTGATTAAAAAAAAAGACAAAACAAAACAAAAAAAAAAACAAACAAAAAACGAATTTCTTTTTTCCTTTCGTCAGACTTGGCAGCGAAGACACTTTTCCTGT